GAGAGAGAGAGAGAGAGAGAGAGAGAGAGAGAGAGAGAGAGAGAGAGAGAGAGAGAGAGAGAGAGAGAGAGAGAGAGAGAGAGAGAGAGAGAGAGAGAGAGAGAGAGAGAGAGAGAGAAAATATGAAAGAGGCGGATCAAATCAAGAAAGATTTCTAATTTTAAATTTAAAATGAGAATGATAGAAGTTGCAAACATGAGTCTTTAATATGATAAGAATTGAATGATACAAGCAAGAAAATAAAAAGTAATCGTAATTTTCTTATACATAGATATTAAGAATAAAAAAAATAAATTTTTAAACAGATCTTGTATACGTGAAACATAGTTTGACTTCATTTTTACTGAAACCTGCAATTGTCAATGCTAGAATTAGATAAGTCCGTAAGACTTATTTTAAATATAAAGTTGTACTTACATATAAGTCTTACAAATTATGGACTTGTCTCATACTTGTATTGAAACCTACTATTGTCAGTGCTAAAATGAAGTAAATCTATAATTTACATGATTCCCTTTGAAAACGAAGTCATATTTTACTTTAGAGACACAAAATGTAATCTCTTGATGTGTTAAACAGTGGAATGACATAATAATAGATTAACTCAACTTTAAAAAATTGAATTTTTCTGTCTGAAAGAAATTTTTTTTCTACATTTTTTTCCTATGGAATCAAAATTTTTTTGAGCAGCAAAAATATGAGAATCATTTGAAAAGTTTGCAATTTAATATGTAGCTATCAATATCATGTTAAAAATTTTTACATTACGTTGTAATACTTTTTTCACGCAAACTATCATACAATCAAGTCTTACAAAAAAGTTTTAAAATGCAATTATCAAATCGTATTCAGAACTATTACTACATAGAACTATCCTTGTAACTTCGATAAAATGTTTTTTAATTTCAAGAATTTCATTAAAATTTTTTCAATTATAAAGTTCCAAAATATCGATCAATTTTTAGAATATTTTCTATAATTACATTAATCTTTATATTTTATAAAAAAATCATATAAAAAATCAAAAAGTGATCATGTGATAATGTCCATAAAAAAATGATTAACACGAAATTCATCAAATAAAATATATTCTGACTTTTACGAAGAAAAATCAGTTTTGTAAAACGTTTTATCGAAAACTTATAATGCTATCTGTCAATACTCCGAAACCGAAGTATTGATACCGCCAGCAAGTATTGATGCCTTAACAAACCGTTTGAGATTCTATCTTAGATTTTTTCACTACTCAGTCTTTGACAATTAGTGTTTAGCTATCACTGCATGTGCAAATACACACAAACACATTTAAAAACGTATTAAACCACACAAAATAATACAATTTCATAGGTAAATCTCCATCCTAGTATAACTCTAAAGAATTACAAAAAATTAAAAATAAGTTTAAGAAATTTTAAAAAACTTTCTGTTTCTTCAGTACTATTTTTTTTTTCATTATAAGGAAAGACAAGCGATTGTGATATGCGTCAAAGTTAGATGAAACAGATCAAAGTACATGAAGAGCTACGCAGGAAGCGTTTTATATTGTCGTTATTTCAAAATGAAATACGTACTCTTAATAAAGTTACATTCTTATATTCTTCCTTCAATATTAACGAGAAACTCGATTTTATATATTAACGAAGATATATATATATATATATATATATATATATCTCAATAAAAGAAGCTATATAATTTATACAA